AAAAACGATGTGTGGCTGCATCGAATTCGAATATATCTACAAATCGTCGTCCATTATGATCTATTACTTGTATACGTAAACGCAAAACAAATTCATTATTAAACGTATCGAACATTTTACGAAGATTTTACATTAATTCAGTGTATGTAAGTTAAGTGGATGTTTTTTTAGGACTTTACTGAAATGACTAGACTGCGGTTTTTATGCATTTATCGCACAAACTATTTTTAAGACTGCGTGCATTGAAAAATTCATTAAATTGTAATGAAGTTTTCATATTACTTGGAACCTAATAAAATACTTAATAAGATAAATATGATTCTATTTGACCTCGTTATCTATAAATTACTTCACAGAAATCTGCATCTGCATAAACTTCCGCAGTCTAGAAAGAAAAACCGAAATTAAGATACCAAATTAGGAAGTGGACATAATTGTAGGTAATTGTAGCTATTATTATCCAGACTGTACTATAATCTTGCAGTTAATGAGCATGCCCCGTTAATATTAATAGTAATTACTAGCCTGCTGAAACTTACGAATGGTCCACTATTTTCTTAAAAACAATTTAACGTCAATTTCCCACCCTTCTGTTTTATAAAAATTGTGTAGAATATTGAATAACAGTAGTAACTATTATTACTGTTTATGCATTTATATTTCTAATTCTCTTTGAAATAAGTATGAAATTTAAGAAAACATCTAGTCTACCCAACCCAGTATATTAAATGTACTAACGAGAAACAATTCCCGAATAATATAATGTCTCGTATCATTTCTTTCACAATGTCGAGTATTTAGTTGCACCTAATAAAATTCGCAATTCCCTAAATAATCGTTATCGCAGTCTAAACGGCTAGTTATTTAATGCCTTGAAAAACTAGATTTTTAATTACGCATCCCCGGGAAATTCCCCGTTAGAACGGTATACGTCATATTGAAAATAATTTACCTACAAGCGTCGTTTCGCATTCTAAAATTTAATGAGAACTCGAGCAGGACTATCGAGGAGGGACGAATTGGTCGTACGACTGAATACAAATGGGTTCATTTGCAAACGAGAGAACAGAGAGAACGGAGAGGGAGAGAGAGAGATAGAGTCCAAGCAATGGACAAACAGTACGGGAAGCCCATTATTATTCTTCTTCCGCCCCCTTGGTTCTTTCGCCTGGCTCTTGTCCACCGAATCAAAATCTTCGTGCAATCGAGCCGACAAGCAGCTGACAAACGCCTTAAAAGGGTAGTAGGCTCCGCGTATAATCGATATAAATTCAATTAATCAACGTCCACCAATACCGTCTCCAATCCCCCCCCCCCCCCAGAATACAAAAGAGTGTCGAGCTGCTCATAGTTCAACACCACGTCGTCGGATCGTTCGTTCGGAATTCGAATGCTTCATTAACACTAATTTACCATAGATTAGTCGACATCGATACCAATATTTTACACATTAATACTACTTACATCAAAGGAATTAAAATTAAGATACTCTTAATACTTGTTAAACACTTACACCATGTCGTCAACATTCTACTTTTACAATGATTAACACGTCTACATTAATATACTCAATCGAGGTGCATGAAGTTCGTGTGTATGTGTGTATGTGCAATAAACACGTGCGAGTACTTAAAATAAAAAAAAACGAAGTCCATTTCTAACTATGTAATTGTTGAACAATGGGTAAGATGCGAATGTTGCGATACGAAAAAAATATGATCGCGAAATATAATTATTGTTCGGGTGCGAGAAGGTACAAATATTCCTCAAGAATCCGTTGCTCCCAAGTTACGGCCCACGAAGAGTCTGTATAAATTAAACAAATGACTGAGAATCTTCTTTAACGGGGAAATTCTGAAGCTATAAATCGCTCGGGGATGGTTAGCGATGGGCTCGAGACGCTTCGAGTTTGTTCAAACTTACGGGGAAAGTTTCGGGAAGTTTTCGGCTCAACTGCGTTCGAGTGTTAGCCGAAATTAGGGACCTCTTAAAAGTTTCGGAAGGCCTGAGCGAGATAATTGATTCAATAAATCCTGCGAGTGTTCAAGCTTCCGAGTAACCGGTGCTGGTTGCATCACCCATTCGAGAAGGGAACACGAAATTAATATTTGAAACCACACGATAAGAAAAAAATGGAAGTATTTTACGATTCAATGCTTCGCGGTTAAGAAATGTAAAGGTTCTTTAAAGATTTTAACAATTGTAAGCCTTTCAAGGCATTCTAAATACATAAAACCGTCAAAGTTTACAAATACCAGCTGCGTTAATGGCTTTTAAAACAAAGGGTACAGTTAGATAAGGGGGTCAAAAGTGTCCTTCGACCGATATGAACTTGTGATATACCATTCGATAGCTTACCGAGAAAAAGCAATGTGTAGTAATTTTCCCCCCAAAACTACTCTGGTACTCCCATAACTTTCAGAGGCCTTCTCGAAATCGACTCGAGATCGACGTTACTAATAGAAAGGTCATATTGCACTACTCTCTCGATTTCTCGAAAAACGAAATTTCGATGATTCTACAATTAAAAAGGCAATGAAATCGAACGGTGTCGTATTGAAATTCGAGTGGTTTTACAGACCGTCGTATCGCTAACTGAAAGGAATTGTGTCTTTCCGATCGTCTAAAGGAGAATTTAAGGGTTTCACGAATTACAATGCTATTGGAGAGGGGGAGTAGCCAACGTTTCGAATGGTTGTACAAGTAAATTGCTCGAATACTTCCGGAAATATAGGAAGAGAGCCAGTAGCCCATTACTAGGCGCGGCACGGTGTGTAAGCTCTTCGATTACCCCCCGGGAACGTGTATCAGGCGAGCGTGGAGCTTTAAAAAAGTCACGGGCTGATAGGTTTAAGCGCGCTATTATATGAAGTAACACGTGGCACCGAGGAGAGAGGGGAGGGCGATACAAGGCTGCATGTAGTTAACTACTCGTTGCCACGGTGCAATCTCGGAATCAACCGGCCGGGGCCAACTTGGGGAGCACGCACGCTCGATAAAAAGGGCTTCCGGTCCGCGGTGATATACGCGTCGTTACGCCCGGAAAATATTTTCGTTGTTATCGCCCGGGCGAACGATTCAAACCGAGGCGCTAAACAATTACGATTCCGAGCAAGCGAAACATATTCAACCCTTAAACCCGGAATTAACGTAAACATCCTGGTCCGCGTTTTGAACACTCGAGCAACGTGCTGGGTGACTGAAAAGACAAATGCAGGAAATACACAGGGTGTTTCGGAAATGGTTGGACAACCCGGAAGGATGTGATTGTATATGGAAAAGTAAGTGGAAAATGTGGAGTAATATTTTTTCGTACGATGGTTCGTTTCCAAGATAATTGATGTTCTGGATTCATCTAAAGGTGCGTTTTTGACGAAACGAACCCAAGCATCATACGAAAAAATGTTATTCTACATTTTCCATTACTTGTTGCATGTAGAATCACAACCTTTCGGTTTCTACCACCATGTTGGAAACACTCCGTACAGGATCCCTGGACTATGTTCAGTCTACAAGTTGCCGACGTTTCAGAATTTATTTTGAAATTAAAAAAAAATGATAGACTCTATTGGTTTGGGCTACATAAATGGTGAATTAAGAAATTATTAAAAATGTGATAACCGTATTCCGAATTAATTCTGAAATGAAAAGTGAGACAGTGATTTCGGAAATTAATATTCTAGATAGATATTATTTAAACGCTTGCAAAGATTTAATGCTAATATATCAGATAACTTAGTTGTAACTAGACTCCGTGTGTCTAAAGATGAAACGAGAGCTTTATTATGCTTTCGTTTCAGCACATTTCACGTATTTTTATTCTATAAATGCATCAAATACGTAGTCTACTTACGATTAATTAATAATACGAATAATCAATTAGCAACAGTTTGTTATATAAGAAACTTCAAGGAAGCATACGTTTAAATTATTAAAATATTAAATAACGAATATTTCGTACATATATGTTGTTAAACGAAAACGATTTTAATCGGATAAATATTCCCTTATTACTGAAATTTGTATTTAAGATAATCGTATTAATACTTGGAAAAACATGAGATCCGTAGATACGATTACAGATACTATAAACGTTAACAGAATACTTACATTTTACCTGAGTGCATTTAATGCAATTGTGAACTTCGTATTGTTTGAAGCTAGACTCGGTAACATTGTTACATTATTGAAAATGTTTGCAGAGAAGTTCCGAAATATTTAGTATCCATGATTTAATCAATAAAAAAGGTTCCCAGAAACCTCTGTTATTTATTTATACGAATATTCTGTATTGCAATATTCATGTAAATATGATATTGCATGTTGTATATCATTACAAAATTGGTTTTCCGATAATTCACAACACGTTGCCAAATTATTTGGTTAAACATTATCAACAAATTTATACTGCGTTGGGAAAACTCTCCAGACAGTCAACCTCAACACAAATTATGCAATATCAGTACACGATTATTATTCTACCTTTCTGAACAAACTTTAAAAAATGTCGTCAAGTTCGACAATATACTCAAATTCATTTAGTTGATATAACGCACAATATTCCCTCCCTATAGTCACACTGTTAGCGATTATAGATAGATGACAAGACAATAACAAGGTCGACAAAGTATTATTACAGGGAGGAAACACTGCACGCTATATTAACGATTCTGTTGTCAATAACAGAGATTCCCAGAATCTCTGTAACCCCGAAAGAAATTCTGGATCCACAACTACAAATGTCCACAGCTACTCAACAGTTTATCCAAACAACTCAGAAACCGTACAAAGAAAACGTACGAAAAAAAACCCAATAATTTATAAAGAAACTTTAACGAACAGAAAGTAAAAGAAAATCACAATGGAAAAGAAGGAGAATTGGTTTAAGGGTCGAACGCGGATCGTTGCTCGATCTCTGAAAGAATGATCGGTGGAAGACAGATTATGTATATGTATATACATGATCAATCGAAGGGTTTTGGTGAACAAAGGTGGTGGTAGAGTGCCAGAGCGGTTTATTTGCGGTTCAGTTTGCGCTAAAGTACAGATACTCATGCAGAACGGACAGTATGTACAGCGTGGTCGTGTTCGTCCTCGGAACATCCGAGGACGGGAGAGGATATCGACGCGAACAAAGCGATTGAAAATTCGATCTTAAATCCCGTGGATCGACGGCGGGGGCCAGGCCTGGCGCGCACGATCTCGACGATACAATGTCTCTGTGTTGCGCGTGGTTTTACAAGCTACGATGAGATACCGCAAGTACAATTGGAATTGAAACAAACGCCGGAGAACGACAACGTTTATTCTGACACATATCTGACAATAGGCATAATTGATACATAAAATGGAAAAAAAATGAAGCTCTCTGACAAGCCCGTTTTCTCGTTTGTCGATCCTGAATTCGAAAGTTACTCGTGTAAAATCAGTAAATAGTGCGAGAACGCCGCGAGCGAGAGATGCGTGAAAATAATTCTTGTGTATGTCCTGTGTATGCGTGTGTTTGTGTGTGCTTATTTTTGTCTCTTGTCGATTGAATCATCTTGTTTTCTTACCGTGTTTCTGTGTGTTTATTTTTTCCTGATATCTTATATATATAGATACGTATAACATATGGTAAATAAATATATAATATATGTACAAATAATACCTAGGCGAACGCCACTTCGCGTTAAGATGTCGCCACCCCGAGCCGGGACTGCCGTACTGCAACAGACACCCGAAACACTGTCATCATATGCGTTCAATTCTCGAGAATGAAGGAAAAAAGGGGGCAAGGAACCTTCACCGAACGGTTGCATGCCGATGAAGGGTATGCAAGTTGCGAATGAACACCACACTACGTCTTCTTCTTGGTCAAGGATTGAAATTGTTAGAGAAATCATTGGTAGGCAGAGAAAAAAGACTTGAAATTTTGTATGTACAGAGTGTCCTGTAAGTTTGTTCATTATTAGAAAATAAATGAGGTATCCAATAGAATTTTTTTTCTTTGAACACGAAGTGTCGTTTTTGAGAAAATTTAGGGCGAACTTTGTGGAATGCGAAGATGGTTATTATACAATTACGTTAACTTTCAAAAAATTCATTTAAATTAGAATTTAAACAACAATTGCAGTGAATGCACATAAAGTTTAAGAAAAAATTGTCCTAATTGAATTTTTAATATCACTGCGAAATTATAATTTATGATAAATGTTAAAATGTTGTTTCGATAAAAAAATATCAGAACTTTCGTGTTTGTAAAACTGACCGTGAATGTAACTGGGGACTTTAGAAACTGATTTTCTCAAAAACAGACCTGTACAAAAAATAAAATTCTATATTGGAAAGTTTCAAAAATGTCTCCAATATAAAAACAACAATAAAATCGTCGTACACAATGATGTCGGTTTTAGAGTTGTCATACAATATTAGAGTTCGTGTTAAAATGTTTGAAAAATAAAAAATAAACAAATTGAATCGGACTTGTTATTATTTCAGCTTTCAACCCCTGTTTTCGTATAGATTCTTCACTCGCCCGACCGCGAATATTGCAACGAAAATATCTCCTCGATGAAAAAGAACTCAAAACGATCGATGTGGATGTGTATTTTTGATGCAAAAATATTATTTTTTATGGTCACTTGATTTCTTCGACATTGAGTTTGAAAAACAAAATTTTATTAACCCTCAAGGGTATATAGCTTTATCATTTCTTCTATGTTGATCTGCGCGATTATTTTGAAATTGTTGATATTTTTTATCACGTACGGCGGTGATTTTCATTCGAGAGCTTCGCTGTTATTTAAACAGCGCAAACAATTTCGTTCGATGAAAAGGAAATTCCCCACAGATGTCACTAAATATATCAACACGTGTGGTTTTCGAGCAGACAACAAAATTACTGAATTTCCACTTACTACTGCTGTAAAATTAATGATATTCGGTAACAGAATTAAATAAACATGCTCTAATTACTTTTGTTACATCCTCTATTCACTTTTAATTCGTAAATACTTATTTACGTATTTATTTTCTACTGCCCAAAAATATTAAATGAAACAGTTAAGAAATTCATAAAATTATGCAACGCTCCAGGACCAAAGTATAATAATGGAAGGCTATTTATAATTGAAAAATAACTTACTAAACATCGAACTGAATAAGATAATCAATTATTTTCTACCTAAGCAGTCCGAAAGTAAGATCTATGGAACTACCGAGACATAAATGATCATTATATCGTATTTTCATTACAAACTCAAGGTACGTTTAAAATTTAATCCAATTGTAAGATAATTAACGTTCTAAACCATTCTACCGTAAATCTTCACCTGGCTTCATTTTAACGAACCTACATAAACAAGATCCATAAAAGTATCAAGACATAAGATAACCATTATGTCGTATTTTCATCACAAAAGCAAGATACGTTTAAAATTTTATCCAACTTCAAAGTGATTAAAGTACTAAACGTTACTACAGTAGACATTCACCAGGCTTGAGTTTCTCAAAAGAAAGTCTCTATAAACCCTTGAACGTCGAAGAAATCCGATTACTCGGATACATTCAGATTATTCCCGTCGAAAACGAAGCTCTCGAATCAATTATCATCGTTTCCGACGTACAAAGAGCACGATCGTTACTCGATTAAGGGGGGGAAGTAGAGGGCGAGAAATTTTCAAAGCGGGCACATAGGGGCCCCGGTTCGGAACGTAATCCGCCCCGTTGGAAAATTGCAATTTCCACGCGCCAGCCCAGAAATAACCGAGGAATGACATAAAATATACCGGGGACAAGCGGTGTGTGATCGTTGCTTTTTAATTTTTTCGCATTCGGCCGAAATCGGGGCTCTCCGTTCGCGAGAATTGCTCCGCGGTCTTTCATCGGGGTATATATCACGAACGGCGGCCCCCAAGCACATCCATCATCGACTCTGATACGAATTAAACAGCTCCCGTGCAGAGCACGCGAACGACCGTTTGATTTTCATCGGGTCGTCGAGGAAAATGGAAAAACTATTCGCAACTCGTATCTGTGCAACATTTTTCAGTCGAGCAGGTGAACGTTGACCGTGGAACCGAAGGATTCTGCGTGTACCCTTTTTTCGAAAGAGAACATTCCGACGAAAATTGAAACATGGTTTTTTGTCGTTAAGATTATGACGAGTGATGACGTCATGGGAGTGCCAACTACTCATTACTAATGATGTTAATTTGATTTTTATACATTTTTTTTTGTATACATAATAAAAACCATATTTTGTTAATTTTTAACAAAAACAGCTGGCCATTGGTGGAAGTTACTCGCGATCGTCATAGTGTTGGGAGAAGTTTTGTCGAACTCGGGAACGGTTCATGAAATTGAATTCTATGTGATAAAGGCACAGTCAATTTATAGGAATGTTTAATAGACTGACTTTCAGATTTTTCGTTTGTAAATTATGTGTATTAAATATTTGAATACTCTACAGAATTTGATCGTTGAATGTTGTAATTAAGTAGTAAATTCGACAAACTGATAAATAGTCTGACCTCCTAGCCATTCGTGGTGCTCATCGATGATCTAGGTAAATATTCAAATGGGTTCGACAAATAGTATTTTACCGTTGTTTATAAACTAGTTATATTTTATGATTACCAAAATATTTCAAATAATCCTTAAGATGCGAGGCTATTATTTAAGGTACGATATTCAACCATGAATACACTCTTGTCCGATTTTATATGTTATAACAATTTGTTTTCTTCTTCTTGAACTGAATTCAATAAATCACGAAAATTGTGGGAATATTGTAAGAATTAAATTGTTCTCAATTTGAAATTTCAATTCAATTTTAATCTATCTTAATTGACTGTGTCATTACCTCACAGAAAATGAGACTTCCGTTCTGTGTTCGAGAATAGTATCCCCTCCTCTGCTAACGACAAATTTAACCATAATCTACCATTCTTAATAATTCTTATAATAGTATTATCACCACGAAGATGCAGGATCCTTCGATTCGACTCATGAATGGAGCTTCCTTCAAATCGTCATCATTAAAAATCTCGCAAAGCCTCATTACCCCCAATTCAACGGGAAACGAGTCTCTTCTCATGCATTTCACACACTCTTATTCTTTCATGCAAGCAGAAAGAAGCTCCATTCTCTGCTTTTAATTAAAAGAAAAATCACTCGATTAGTAGAAAAACAGTTCCTAACAGGACTGCGACAGTACAAGACAATAAACATCATAATGCAGTCATGATAGATCGAGTATGCAAAATACAGTGAACTGTTTACAAATACATTTGTCAATTTCTATTTTCGTAAAATTGTATTTTGCATAAACGTATGTGTTATATAATTGTAGTTGTTAATCGAGACATCGTCACGCTGTTATATTCACTGAAAATCGAAAGTAAAAAATCACTCGTTCGAGAAAAATTGATTAGGGACTGGACAGATCGATGCACGTCACGCATGGAACACTGAAAGAGAGGAGAGGTGTTACATTGAAGCATCCGCGCGTCACAGCCATCTTTCGAGCCACGGGACAACACGTCAATGACGGCGCCGTCACGCGACACGGCCACTCTATTGGCGAGAGAAATTCGTCGAGCGTGAAATTCGTCGAAAGTGGATCGAAATCTGCACTCGACGTTCACGCAACGGTTAAAGCGTTAAACTCGATCTATCGTGAACATCATTCGATCGATTCTCATCGAACTGTGCGTTCCACGAAACAATCGTAAAGAGAAATTGCATTCGCGCAGACAGATGTTTTAACCCTTTCGCTACTGGTGGTTTGCACTGAGTTAGAACCTACTTTATTTTTAGACGAGGTGATTCCTTATGAAGAAATAAAAACAAAATATGGAATAAAATTGTTTCATTTAAGGCTTAGTTTTCGAGAGAATCGATTTTGAAAATCTCGTTAGATACGGGGCAATTGAATAGGACAGGGTTAACGCGTCTGTTCATTGCATTTCGTTTCTACTTACTACTATGGTGAATACACATGTTTCAGGTTAATTTTCGACGTTGATTTTCTCGAAAACTCAGCCTTAAATGAACAAATTTTATTGCGTATTTTGTTTATATTTGTTCATAAGGAATCATCTCGTATATTATGGAATTTATAATTTTTGTAAAAGTTATTTAAAGATGATTCCAGTATAGAACCAAAAAATGACGACACATTTATATTGAATTAATAGAGTTCTTTGTGATATATTTTGAAACATGGATATATACACAATCTGAAAAATACATTCGACACTAGGAGCGAAAGGGTTAAGAAACTGAGACACCGCGACAGATATTCACGATTCTGGACCAAAAGCATTTGCTGTGAGCTTTTCGTGAATAGTTTATTTTACAGGCGCCCTTTTAATGAAAACTACGAGCTGCTGGTGCTTAATGATTTCGTTTTACAGCGAATGGACTTGTTTAACTTCCATTTAGTCTTGACACTAGAACTACGCAGCAGTCAAAATGATTGGTCAATATATTCTTATAACGGCGATTAAAATCTTACGACAGTGCATTTTCTCAGATGTTTCACAACTTTTATTGCAATATGAAAGTGATAAAATTAGATAATTTATAAATTTGTATATTTTTTAAAATTTCTCATTTTTATCGATCCGATAGAAATAGTATACGTTTATCATCGGTAGTTCTAGTGTTAAAAGACAGACGAGAGTTTCCTGAATATATCAGTAATATACAGTTACTAAATTTTGTGGTTCTGAATGATTGTAAATGGCCATCGAAGGTTAAAAAAAAACCGAAGCACATTCTGATAACTTTACATGGATCACCCAATGAATATTACAAATGAAAGTTCGTGTTGGACAGTGTTATTGCAGAACAAAACGTACTTTCATCTCGATATGAAAATATTACGAGAGAACACGAGCGTAACGAGCTGACAACGAAATAAAAATAAAAAAATGTGAAGAAAATCTTGTAAATGGAAACTGCGCGCACTTCGCGCTCGAGTTAGTCGCGTGACAAAAAGAAATTACTTCCGTTCTCCTACGTAAACAGCTAATCTGAACTGTAAAGCGGCAATCTGGCTACCAACTTTTCCACAAACGACCGGCTAATTGAGTTGTACCCGCATGCACGGGTGAGGAAAAAGTTCATCGTGGTGCAGTTCGCGGTTGATCCAACGGAACAGTTTCGACGTGATTTGCCCTGTGCGGGTGTCAGTAAGTTCTGGCTAAACTACCCGTGGTGATGGGATCAATCTCACGCTACGCTGGCAAATATCAATCATTTTTATACCCCATGAATCGATGCGTTATAACAGTATACTTGTAACGACGTAATCTTTATATTGTGGACGTTTATGTGAATATCAGTTTTCATAGAATAACTCACTGAAACTGAAATCAAACGTAAGATTTGTTTGTTTGGATTGTATTGGATTTTTTAATACAGTTTACGTATGCATGATTTTATACAACTGACATTTTTTATATTAATTTCGAAACTGTACGTAATTTAGAAAGAAAAATATAATCAACAAGCGCTGAAGAAAGAACAGTCATTTTCTCAACCTTGTTACTGACGTATCCTTTACGGTTCAAATTACTATGGATTTTCAGAAATATTATTGCTGTCTAAAACTATGACATCACTATTTTACATTACATTTTGTTACCAACTTGAGAAATACTATAGTTTCTGACGAATCAAAGGAAAATATCCTTACAATTCTGAATTCTACAGCGACATTGAACATTACAGTCTTCTTACACCAATTACATTTCCTTTACATAATTGAAGTAATTAAAGGACTTAGTCAATTAGTCTACAGAAATTTAAATTCGCATGAAGATCCACCTAGTAAAAAACTGCAACAATTACTTCCATCTTTTTTCTTCTCCAGTATCTTCTCGTACCTCAATTCCCATTTCATCTACTTCATTCAATTTTCCACATAAAAAAATATATACATATATATACATAAAACCCATAAAAAGTAGCCTGAACGCGAGCTCTACAGACGTTATCTTAATTCATTCTTCTCATTAACGACTCGTTATTTGAATAAAATTACGGTCGACACCGCCATGAAAGGAGCTACAACCCATTTCCAGTTACCCTAATCACGCTACACGTTTCATCGGATTGCAGATACCAGCCGCGATACGGTTTGATCCCATCACTGGCTACGTCGGCACGTGTTAAACTGCTCGCCGCTCGACGTTCAACGTCGAGAGGACGTCACGCAAAGCTCCAGAAGCTCTGCTCGCTTTTGCGTGGGAAATTAACGCGTCACGACTTCATCGGGTTTGATAGGATGTACCCTAAACCCCGCAAGCGAGCCCGTCGACCGGAGTTAAAGCTCGTCCACGAACCACGCCATTCTCCAGTTAACGACGTGTCAGATCAAGCGTGGAACTCTGTTTTCGGGCACCCGTCATGGGGTTACCGTACCTAGATACGATCCCATTTCTAACGAGACACTAAACGCAAATCAATGAAAAAGAAAAGAAAACACGTTGCTCCGTACGCCTGCTGATGAAGCCGTGAAAAGCTTTTAGTTCGAGCTTTATATCTTCGGAATTTCAAAACTGAATCAATTGCTGTATTCTTCTTTATACTTTTTCAAATAGATATAGTACTTAGTCGTTACAATTTGCAAAATTAAAATTTTACCAACTTCTAAGCTAGACTGTTCGATGTTCCAAATGAAGTGAGAGAATTTTAGTAAGAATTTTGTGTCTCTAAGTGGTCTTATCTTTACTGGAAATAAAAGTATAACACTTTTATAACAGAAGTAGAAATAGAATTTAAACATTTTTCTTAAATTTTATAGTTCTTTTATTTACTGCCCTTTTGTTGATCATAATCGTAAAATTGTATTTAGTATTTAAAGGAAAGAAATTTAGAAGAAATCTTCATTAATGAATATTAACTGATCTAACACTAGCAGGAGTAAACAAACTTCTGTAGAAGAATCTAAGAATAATCTCTCTCAGTAAGCGTTAAAAACATACTGCCTGTTCTATAAATTAAGTACGAACAACAAAATGACAATACAATTTTGATATTCCAAAGATTTCTGAACACAAGCCGCAAGGATTCCGCTAAAAGGGTTCATGGATCATTTTCCCTATGACCTAACTCGATGGTCCAAAACTCTCAAACATTCCAAAATTCAGTCACCTGAATTGCAATTCGTTTTTCTCCCGGTGTTGTTTCGGACAATAGAATTTACAGCCTATTGCAAAGCAAAATTAGTGAAGCTGCAAGGATAACAACGGTTAGAATTTGTTCCAAATAAAAAAAAAAAAGGAGAAAACCGCGCAGTACACTCTGCTGATTGAACTAGCTGTCAACGTGTAGCTACCTTTCATTGAATCAAGGCAGGTTTCCTGTGGTTCATGTTAAAGAATCGGAACTGTAGCCGCAGCGTTAGGTCTTTCCGTACTGTTGGGAAAGAATAGAGGTGTCGTAAGTATAAATCGCAGTTCAGACTCGCTGAGTCTCTCATCGGTAGGTGGTAAAGTCGTGTGTACATTAAACAAATAAACCCTCTTTCGTAACAGGGAACTCGAGACGAAGTTTCTGAACCACTAGTCTTAATACATTACTCTTAACAGATAAGTATTCTTCGTTAATAATCAAATAATCGTTTCGAGATGCCCTTTTACAACAAAGGTAACGTGGCACGCCAGCATAATCGTTTGAAGTGATTACAATAATCGTCGTGTAATCTAAGTGTTTTGTGATCAACACCTATTCTTAATAAGAGAATTACTTGAGAATGAGACAGGAATTGTTGAAATAGGAAAATATAATCCGAGACATGTGTACAGTCAATTGATAGCTATTTGTCGACTGAAACGAACTGCCCCTTTTCATTTGTAGAATACCATGCATTGTTGATTTTATGATAAACAGGGTAGCGGAGTGTGTAATGGGAGACAGCAATTGAACATAAAGTCGTGCAATGGATGCTGGATACTTAACAAGTTTATCGAAACAAAATGCACATAAGTTAAACAGATGTAAACAAAGAAATCTCTTTAGAAACGTTGACGGGTAACTGTTCTGACTCGACATTCATAGACATTCGGGACCACCACGGACATCGTACGTTGACGGAGTAAATCAGACATGAAGGACAAATTTTCAAAACCGTATCCGGGCAGGAATTGTTTAAATATGTCTACTCACTGCATTAATCTGTGCTACGTTCTGTCTTTTAAGCTGCCTACGGGTATAATGAAATTTTGTGAAGGTGTACCGCTCTCTAACTTAGCACGTGCCACACGACAAACTGACAAAAATAAATAATCGATTAAAATTCGCTATAACGGACTACAAATTTACTAAAAAAGTGGGGGAGATTTAATTTTGATACAAAATATTGATGCAAAATTTAAACAATTTCAATATGTGAATAAGAAAAGAAGGAAATGAAAAAAAGCTTGCTGTGAGTGAGAAAAATGTGTTGAATCATGCTGTAAAGTAAGGATGAAGTAAGATTTTGGCCTAGAATAATTTTGAATGAAATTTCTTATAATATAGAAGACTGTACAAGTGTAATAGATAGCTTTAGTAAAGCAAATGACGAGCATTTCGTCTGACAAAATAATACAGGTGTCGATCGTATTTTTTATCTGATTAATAAAGCGACAATACACAGAAGCTTATATCACAACTTACATCTGCTTTGTCGATTATCAATGTTAAATAAGCTAGAAGCAATAATGGAACAGGAAGATGACTTAAACAGGCTCATACCGAATCAAATGCTTATGTACTTTAACCTTTAGTTCTGTACTTAGGTGAAAATTGAAAATAGACCAATCATATTTTACGTTTACCAATTAATTTTCTAGGTTCAAGATCTTTAATGATTAAAATTAGGCGAGTACGAAATGGTTCGGGTGACTAAAACGATTAATTGAAATAGTCGGGGAAAGTATGATGATGATTAGAAACATGATGCAGGTAATAAAGATTTTCAATGGGTACACGCCAGGGTCTCATAATTACCTCTATGCCACTAGCTAGAAAAATAATAAATCAATTTAGCAGGATGAATGGATGAATGATGATGTGCTAGTAAAGTGCTATGTAAGACTACGAAGCAGATTCGGAAGAGTTAGAAGCATTTCGTCAAATAATCTCCATGGTCCCCCATACAATTGCTTCCATCTAAACGAAAAATTAAGAATTTAAGTTTTCCATCTGCGTGAATGTGAAGGCAGTAACGTGTATCTTTAAAGTGTACAGTTACTATGTTTGAGATATAGCACATATCACTGGATAAGTGTGATTGTGTAGAACCTGTAAAGACTTGTTTTACTATAAACATGTAACATGAGTAATTGTAATGTATCAAAAATATTTCAGGAACAATATACCTGGAAAAGAGACAATAATCGGATAATCTAATAAATACTTTATACTTAAGTGATTCATAGGCGCTACTTAAAAGGTAAATAATCCGTTTTTCTTAACCCTCTATAGCCTCATGTGACTTTGCAATCACAAATCGATATATCGATATTTCTTTGGTCTAGTTTAATTTTTACACATCGTGTTGTACAACCTCTCTGTGGTAACCAATAAGATTCTTTGTAGCGATTATCATCTCTAGCTTGAGATATCGGAATAATAATAAAATCTTTCAAAATTGTGAATTCATTGTTAATTAGTATTTAAAAGTTGATATTTCTTGGTTTCACGTTACATAAATTCTTGTATAATTACGAACGAAATTCAGGCTATAGAGGGTAAAGCGTTAATTCATACACCATACAGTATATAAATTCACGTAAGATAACATCTTCCTTTATAGACCTTTATCCTTATGTTAATATAAATAGTTCTATGGTATACAACATATGCGCATAAATACAGAGCACTAATGAAAATGACTTTGTTTATAAATGTAATATTTGTACTCACTCCTATCAATGTTGCGTTGCAAGTGTGCAGCCACACGATGTCTAGCATCATTGAACTCCAAGTGAAGACCAAGTCGAAGCAAGGTTGGATTCTGTTCTACCAACTGTGTAATTTCCATTTCGATTTTGTTTCCCAACACTTGTGACCTCTATACGTTAAAACAAAAACCGGAATGTACATACATCAGAGTAACCAAAATGTATATGGACCCAAAAAGTAATATTACCTATGCCTTACCTGATTGGAACATCGAAATTCTTCTATTGATTTCGTTTTAAGGAGTGCCCTGATGAGCCTCACTATCACAGATGGGCTTATAAAGTTTGTTTCAACACTAAAGAATAAAGTTTTAATATGAAACAATTTTATACGCCATTATTAACGAGATAGTTTATATGTAATATTATACTAACTTGAGTACTCTGAGCGTAGAATTTTTCTCTAAGGCTTCTGCCAACCTTTGTGCAGTCTTATCGTTGAGTCCCACATTTGTTAAACTTAAGGATTCGAGATGTGTATTCATCTCCAGTCCTTCAAATAGTTGAATAAACTTTTCGTCAGATATATTCTTAATGTTATTCCAGTTTAAGTCAATCAATGACGCATAGTCTTCTCTAACTTGTTTGATAGTGGCGTCAACATCTGTATCATTAGGTGGTTCCATCGGGTAAGGTTTTGGTTGACTAGCTTTTGTAACTCCATCCCACCCCAAGCCCACAGGCTGACCAGAGTTTAATAAGGAGGCATGATACTGATCTTGATTCATCATGGAATGGAATCCAAGGATAGCTACACGTGAAACAAAAAGTGCTATTAAATATTTGTTCCGAAAGTTGTAATCGCATCTTCATATATATTTAGTAACACAGAATTATGCCTTACCAGCAAGATCAATAATTTCTTCTTGACTAGCATTAGATAATGCTTGCTCATATTCATCTCCAAGATCAATAGCAATTTGTTCATCTGCTTCTTTTTCTTTTACAGTTTCCTGAGGAGGTGGAATCCACTAAAAGAACATAGTAAAATAAATATGTATATACATTACAAATTTTCCATATATTGTTAAGCATTTCATTTGAAAAAATACATACCTTCTTGCCTCTTATAGTACCAGGTACATAAGGCTTTAATTCTGGTATGTCTGGTGTTTCTAAGGCCTGTTTATTGATGTGTTCAATTAGTTTCTTACGATTTAGGGGACCGGTTGGACTCTTGTCACATTCATAACTACAACGTTGCGAGGGTGGCATAAAGCTGTCCTATAAAAGTATTACCAAAAATTATTGAACACTGAAACAACTTTATAAAAGTTTTGATGTATGTCTACATTCAATGAACAGTACACGAAAAATAGTTAACTTACGTCAGGATCTACTTCCTTGGCCAACATATTAATTTCTTCTGGAGTAAGCTGTGCCAACAAGTCATCCACATCCACATCGTCATATTCACTCAAATCCTTGCCATATAACTTAGCTGCAGTTGTCATGGTGGTAGTTTTGGTTGATGCAGAAGTCTGGAAAGTTTCCCATGGTTCTTCATCAACTACAGAGTATCTCCGTGACATATTATTAGTCGTATTGTTAATTGATCTGGTACAACTAACAATAATCAACTATTTCCTGTTAATACTAATATCTATGTTAATTGTCTAACAGATCTGCATTTCAAAAGGTCACTAAACAACGTATTATTTTATATCCTTAGGTATGCAAAGAGCGAGTCCTGTACTTCCTAACACCAGTACAATATTCAATTAATAACTAATTTCACTCTCCTCAGATTCACGAGAAAGGAAGCGCGTGATGTTCACTCGACAATTGCAAACAGCGGGCGCGAAAACAACAGTGATCGATGACGATCGCGGATAAAAGAAACCACAAACAAGTTGTGTGTTTTCGAACAGAATGATATCAGTGACGGGATATTTCGTCACGGTACACGTTCATCGCGAAGTCCAAGAGTATACGGAGGTAATGTTCCTGATCGAACGATCGGCAAATCGACAACTTGCATTTAAATTCGGCAACTGTCCAACGCGGCTGATGCCCTTTGCCCCAGATAATTCCGGATTGATTTTCATTGACAACTCATCTGCCAAATCGACAACCCACGCTAATCCGAGTATTCGCGCCTGATTATGGAATATTGCCGCCTGAATAAGACTCGAACTTACCCTACACGAATTGCCCTTGACAAAAATGTACACCGGCAACAGTACTCCAATGTGAAATTAGGTGAATCGCTCTTAATCAAATACCTCACCCACTTCTCACGACAGACGCACACTTCACTGATCAGTTCACCGATTGCGGCTGATTGCGGCAGCGCCCTTTGACGCTTATACCATATTCGAACAAATAATTTATCCAATGAATTGTCCGCTATGAATGCGCGCTGCATTGTTTTTAGAAGAAATTTCTCTACAGGAGTTCAGTGTACGATCATTCTTAATGATCGTAAAATCTGTATTTAATTACAAGTATTGTACAAAATAAGGAAGGAAATTTCATTCAATTAGCAGTTAAGTTATTTGACATTACCTTTGCACGGTGTTAGTTTGAATGAGGTATACGAGATGCTGGCTCATGGAGAAAGTTTCTGCGCGTCTGGCGTCGCGCAGGTATTGACGTTGATATAACACCCGTGGCGGCCGTTTCAAAACACGTCCATATACGTAAAAGAAATACCATATACGAGAAACTCGCAATAAGCAGTTAACTAATGAGCAATAATGCTTTAATATTCAGTTACTACGTAGTATCCCTGGGTTCGTTCCAGAAAAATGATTAAACTTGTTAAATTTAGATAGCATCCAATGTTATAATCTTTCTAACAAAATATAGTAACAAAATCATTCATTCGGACAAGCGAATGTGGTTCTACAATTCGGAAACTGATATTATTGCAAATGATTCAGAAGTTAAGATCAACTCTCCAAGAACTGATCACGAGGAAATCATGATTGTAATTAATCGCTACAAGTTTTGCAAACGAACAACCAGCAACATAGACTATTTCTTGAACGAAACGAATTGAAGTGGATCTTAAGATGATTATCGCGATAAATCAATTTTGTCCAAGGTCACGTGCAAGACCGGCAATCGGCGTGACCGGAAGAGTGGGAGGGGATATCTGCATGCGAGGTGGGAGTGCCGCGCAGGCCTGATGTTCATCGTTGGAAAGGACTGCGGCCATCTCTGTCGTCCCTCGGTTGTGCAGTTTTGATTAGAGAGTGTCTATCGCGCGTTGTAGCGCTCGTAGCGGCGACAGGCTCAAAAATAGCTGAGGCCTCCTCGCAGGCTGGCAAACTCCCAACGGTCTATACTTGGACATCCCCGCGCCATGATTATTTATAGTGAGCGCGAGCGCGGCCACTGGCCTTCTCGTGAACTAACTAGCCGCCACCAAAGACGATCCGCCGCCCGTGACCTAGGCCCGCATTAATAACGATTACACCCCTGCGCTCAGGAATACGGGAGCTTAATCTCTCACCGCTGCTCCAACGAATGCATGCCTTTTTGTTTGATCATAGAGCTCGTGAATGGTTACACCTGATATACGCGCAGAGTTCTGTTATGTTTCAAATGCAAAGACGCTCGTTTGAACGTTTAACGTTCAAGATCAGCAGGGGCGGGGATACTGGGCTCTCGCAAGGTGTCACTTTAGCTGAAAATATAGGGAACCGGAAGTGGCGCCATTTTCGATTCTGTATGGTTTCTAGAGTAGTTTTATAGTAATTTATGCATGAGAATGATTCCTGTATTAGTATCAATAGTAATGTCGTGTGTACTGTGCACATTTTATTGATCTACACCCTAGTCTTACAAGCCCATATTGTATGCAATTGGAAAGTAAACTGTGTAATTATAAGAGACAAACATTATTAAGAGTCTTGATCTTTAAAATCTCATGTTTGTTAGTTTATTTGATTAATTTAATAAATAACTATTGCAGAGTTCCTTAACAAAATGTATGACTATCATAATAAAAGAAATACGTATTGCACTTAGAAACAGCATAATGAAGACAAGTTTTAGATCTGAAATACACACGATCCCACTGCATCCTTTACTGCATAGCATGTAGAGTATTTTAAAGTAACATATCTAAGATTCTTTGCATTCTTTCACAGGTTCCAATTAGAAATCTTATGCAATTTCGGAAGATGATACATCGTATCAATGGAGGTATACTCCTCAACATTACGCAAGTCATCCCATTGAATGCACGCCTCGGTTTAACGAGTGCATTGTTCATTATTCCCTAATAATAATTAGAATGCAATAAAACGAAGGAGATCAATCGACAATGCAGGTTTTCAGTTCGAGTATAGAACGAAACTTTCAGTGCTCCAAATAACCCGTACCCCGCTCATGAGAAATCTGCCTGTTAATTAATTTGTACGTCTCCGTGGCAGGTTTATTTCTGCGTAGCTGAATGAAAACCGCGCGGCTTACTTTCACGGCCACGAAAAAAAGGCGAGTCGTTTTCCGTCCAGACGCATCGCTCCGGCAATAATTTCGCGCCACTTAACAGACCTCGCTCTGTTCCCCGCCTCCCATGAAACAGGGGAAAAGTTTGTCAGTCCTGCACGAGATTTGAATGCTATGACTGTCACTGTTTCTAATAATAACGGAAACAAAGCCGGCCCGCTTGATGCTCGTCCAGAAAGCTGTATTGCAGCGTACCCTGTAGATATTTTGTTCGATGTGACAGAAACTCCTTGTCGCTTTGTTACAGAAATCTGTTCTCCGGGCTCGTATGCCCGACTAATCGAGTTGTTAAGTCGAACAAGATACAGATTTAAGTTAATTTTAGCTGGATTCTCTTTTTACGATTTCATAAAATGTCTAGAAAGACGAACGCAGCTGGTGCGTTGTTGCCACTCTGATCTAAATCACGTCTAGTCTCATGGAAATAATGAAACAGAAACCGAAAGTGTACGCAATATTTTGAAATTTTACTTTTTTACTTTTGAAACGGGTTTCAATGGTATTTAACCTATGCAACCCTTACCGACGAGTCGTTACACCTCGTTCTTTCATTATGTTCGAACTATTAACCCAAGACTTCATCGATCTCTGTCAAATATTCTCTCGCTATAACAATCAGTTTGTTTATGCTTCTCGATGAAATGCATTTCGAAACTTAAGTTCCCGCCAGATGGAAGCTACGTTTCCCACGAGTGCAGTGCCTCGAAATTAGGCCGGTTTAAGTATCGGTAATTAAATCTCCGATGGAAAAGCACGTCAATCGACGCGATCTATCCTGCGTTGGAAGCGCGCTAATGGGCCGTGTACGCAATTAGGGGCGCGTATTTCCTCAAAAGAGCGCCTAAGAGTCCTACAAAGCCGGCGTTTCAGTCAGACAAAGCGGAATTCGTGTGGTGCATAAAGGAAATCGAAAAGGAAAATCCGAGAGCAGTTACCGAGAAATGTATTTTGAACCACTCGTGCAATCTAAAATTATTCCTGCAAGTTTTTGAGAACTGTAAGATCGTAAATTGAATGAAAAAAAATAAGACCGTGTACAAACTCTGTAGTTTTTTTTTGAGAGAGATCTCAGTAATGATAAATTATTAAACAAACTCCAGTGATTACACGTGCAAACTTTAATGGAGTACAATGTCAATTAATGATTTTGTAGTTGTTTTATTACAGAATAATATACAATAGCGATAAGCTAAACTGAATGCTGTTTAATAATGAATTTTTAACGATTAAATCTTTAGAAGATTCTCGAATGTAAATATGTAACAGAACTGTTTTATAAATCGTACTTGTGATAATGAGAGCCGAAATTATGTGAGTTCATAGCCTAGGGAAATTTTATTTAAATAAATATTCAACTTTTATCTACTTGTTTTTTTATTGATGTTGCTGTGACACTTTGATGACAGTCGTCGACCGAACAGTCGAGGCTTGTCTTCGCCGACAAAAAATACAGCGATGGAACCAGAAAGGCTCTGTATTTTTGGGGCTCATTCATTTCTAAGCCTCCCCGATGCGACTATTTATTTCGACGAGGGCCGATCAGCGAATGAAATATCGTCAGCGGGACTTTGTTTCTCACAAAGCCGACGTTTTTCTTGTCCGACCGCTGACAGAGAACGCTTAGGCGTCTGCTCAATGGGGAGAGATCGATGCTGTCGTCTACGGAAGACAGTCGATCAGCGTGGACCGGTTCCATCATCGACAATAAGGAATAAATCACCTTACGTTCAAACATTAAAAAATCTCTATTCAAATTACGAATTTAACTGTAAAATGCATATTAATTGTCTACTATCGAATACATTGTTTAGGAATTATATACATCGAAGTGTCCAATAGTATTTTCGCGAAATTCTCACTATCCTTCTATATGAACCGGTTCAAACGTTCACTTGGGCAAAACAGGAGGAACGTGTCTCGAGCGTAACACTTAATTAGCTGAACTTATCGCGAAGTTTCGATGAACGAAGCAAGGGGAATACGAGCCAAAGGCCTTCTATGGTCAGACCGAGCAGTTGCG